CTGGAAGCAGCAGAACGTTCCTTTATGAGACCACATGACAGGATTGTGGGCTCAGAAAATACGGGACCAGGATGGCAGGAATTATGAGGCCTCTGATAATTTATCACCAGCATCTGTTTGGGGTAAAACAACCCACATTTCACAGCTCTGAAGTTGAGGAGAGGACCCCCAACCTCCTTTAACCTTTCTTTTTATACTGTTGTCAATTAATGGAAAAACCAAAATTCTAAGAAAAACACTCCAGGAAAACCCAGCCAGACCTTGCTAACCTCATAAAAGCTGACGAAAGACAGAAGCCTTCCACCTGTTGCATTTTGTTTTTTATCTTAACCGAAGAATTTTTCAGTGAAAATGGATCTCCTTTTTAAATTTGAAAAGTCACCATTAAATTAAACATTGATTATCTGAAGGATTGTACCAATATGACATTAAATGACTTCAATACTTAAGGTTATGTAAGACCAATAAAGGGGATAACGTATGATCTCCAATGATCCAGTAACAATGATACAAATATCTCAACAATAGTGATCTGAATGATATTCATTTTCTCCCTGGCACAAGAGTTAAGAGACCAAGAAAAATCAAGGAGAAATTATTTAGAATTGGTGAATTAAAAGTTAACAGATTTGAATAAACCTTTTAAAAGAGCAGCGCTATGGAAGTGATAGGACACAGCACCACCTACTGGCTCTGGAATTTGCCCAAAACCAAACTCACTGCTGTTAAGTCAGATCCAACTCATAGACCCCTCCTTGGGTTTCTGAAGAGGTATGTCTATGGAAGTAGATTGCCCAACCTTCCTTCCAGGAAGTGACTGCTGGGTTTGAACCACCAGCCTTCTGGTTAGCAGTCAAATGCCTTAGGCACTATGCCACCAGAGCTGCTATGAAAGAGGAAGAGGGCAGTAGTTCAGAGGTAAAACCAGTGCTTCCAACTGATTTCATTCCAGTTCAACTCCCTGCTGAGAATTTGGGAGCTCTGCTGGCGTAGTGCCTAAGGCATTTGACTGCTAACCAGAAGGCTGGCGATTCAAACCCACCAGCCACTCCTTGGAACAAAGATTGGGCAATTGGACAATCTACTTCCACAGAGATACCACCTCAGAAACCCAAGGAGGGGTCACTATGAGTCAGAAATACATCTCCACCCCAAATAAACTGAGTCAGAATCTACATTTTAACAAGATCCCTTGGTGATTCTAACAGATTTTATGTGAGGATCTGTAGGAATCACCTGGAGATCTTGTTAAAAATGTAGATTCTGATTCAGTATTCCTGGGGTGGAAAAGCAAATTCTCAGCAGAGTGTCAAACCAGAATGAACCTGTTAGAAACCCTACGTAAAATTGCTCTGATAGGTTGAACAACCCCAGGCTGTTTTGGTGCTAATGCTACCTGGATGTGTGATCATCTTCTCTGTAGGAAACTTGGAACTTTTTGTGCATAATGGTTTCTAGATTGTTTCTAGATTTTAGCAGAGAAGTAATGGAAAATGAATAACCTAGGGCCACCCTAAGGTGCCCTGGTGATGCTAATGGTTAAGTGCTCAGCTGCCAACTGAAGGTCAGTGGTTGAACCCATCAGTTCCTCCATGAGACCTGGTGGTCTGCCATCATAAAGATTACAATTTGGAAACCCTATGTTGTTGTTGTTAGATGCCATCGAGTCGTCTTCAACTCATGGAGACCCTGTGCACAGTAGAAGGAAACACTGCCCAGTCTTGTGCCAGCCTCACAATCCTTGCTATACCTGGAAACCCTATAGGGCAGTTCTATTCTGTCCTATAGGGTTGCTATGAGTTGAAATTGACTTGACAGCACACAACAAAAAAAACAGGGCCGCTCTGCTGCTAACCAAAAGGTTGGAGGTTTGAGTCCACGCAGAGGAGCCTTGGAAGAAACCCCTGGTAATCTACTTCTGAAAAATCAGCCATTGATAACTCTATGATGCCTCTGTTGTTCTCCCCCTGTATGGAGCAAAGAAGAGTGGATAAAATCAAAGATGCAGGGAAACAATTAGCCCAAAGGACTAATGACTATGCAAGCTCTAGTCTTTACAACCCTGAGACCAGAAGAACTAGATGGTGGCCAGCTTCCATTACTGACCACTCTGAAAGGGATTGCAATAGGAGGTCCAGGATAGTGGGAGAAAAATGTGGAACAAAACTAAAAATCATGAAAAATACCAGACTTAGTGATCTGATAGAGACTGGTGGCCCTTAGACACCCTTCAAGCCTAGAACCAAACTCACCTCTGTGGCTCAACGTTTAGCCAAACAAGAGATAGACCAATAAGATGAACAATAACACCAGGGAAGTATACACTCCTTAGAACAACCAACCATATAAGATCAAAAGGGCAGCATTTGCCCAGGCGTAAAGCAGAAAGCAGGAGGGGATAGGAAAGAAGGATGAATGGAAACAGTAAAGACAGTGAGAAAATGGGAAGAGGGCTGTTACATTGTGGGGATTGCAATCAATGTCACAAAATAAAATGTGTATAAATTGTTGAATGGAAAACAAATTTACTACGTGAACTTTCACTCAAATCACAATAAAAAGAAAGAAAGAGAGAAAGAAAAAAAAACCCTTTGGAGCACAGTTCTACTCTGACACACATGGGGTCACCATTGAGGCAGAATCAGCTTGAAGGAAACTGGTAACTTATGGAGGGTTCCTTAAGCAAGGGAGTGTCATGATTAGATTTACATTGTTGAAAGGTTGCCCTGACAGTCCTCCAAGGCTGCAGGCCATCAGCTAGAAATTTTTTGCAAAGGTCCTAGTGAGTAATGAACAGAAACATCAATGAATTGAAGGCCATATAAGAATCAAAAACAACTCTGACTGCAAAAGCCATTTTCATAAATGTTGTACATATATATAACAAAACAAAAAACCAACTCATTGCCCTCGAGTCAGATCTGACTCATAACGACCCCTCCTTGGGTTTCCAAGGCAGTATTTGACTGCTAACCAGATGGCTGGCGGTTCAAACCCACCAGCCACTCCTCAGAAGGAAGGTTGGACAATCTGCTTCTGTAGTGATACTGCCTCGGAAACCCAAGGAGGGGTCGCTATGAGTCGGGTCTGACTTGATGGCAAATAACAACAATAACAGAGGCAGAGAGGGGATCTCACTACCATCAAGAGAGAAGAGCTGGAATTGAAGTAGAGTGCATCCTTGGACCTGAGATCCCTGCACTGGACCTCCTTGGCAGAAACGCCCCAGCAGAGAGAGACGCCCCAGAGAGAGATGGTTGCAGTGGAACTAAGAGGCACAAGACAGAATGGCGGGCTTACCTGGCCCACAGAAGGAGAGAGCTGAGTGCCCTTGGGCAGGAGGCTTGCTGACAGAGTGGAATGCACCTAGGTATACCTATTGGCAGAGCTAAAAGAGCTTTGTAACACTTGCCAAAGCGGGGCTGAGGCCAGGCTGAGGGGCCAAGGGCCAGAGAGGCGTATCTGAGGGCACAGCAGAGAAGAAACTGTTCTGATCGAAGAATTGTATCCTGAGCATGCTCCTGTTATAGCCTGCTACTTCCCTAATAAGCCCCACAATCATGAGTATTGTCTGTGAGTTCTGTGTGGTCACTGCAATGACTTATCGAACCCAGCAGAGAAGTAGTGAGTGCTGTGGGAGGAATGGTTGGTGTCAGAATTGGTAAAAGGCTGGAGGGTGATGGCATGTCTGGCCTCCTAGGAATAAGCGTTGGGCTGCTGATGGTGATTCTGTCTTCCCCTTGTGAAATTACAGGAGGTCAGAAGATGTCATCCCCAAATCCTTTTTGCAGGAAGAAACTTGGGTCTGTGAAGCCAGAATTTGTATGGCTGAAGACCTTTGAGAAACAATAGGAGCTGGCATGTTCTGATTTAAAGGGTCATGTGGGAGGTAGGAGCTCTGGTGGTATAGTGTCTAAGGCATTTAACTGCTAACCACAAGGCTGGCAGTTCAAACTCACCAGCCACTCCTCAGAAGGAAGACTGGGCAATCTACTTCCATAGTGATACTGCCTTGGAAACCCAAGGAGGTGTCACTATGAGTCGGATCCGACTCGACAGCAGTGAGTTTGGTTTGGTTTGGTTTGGTTTGCTGGGAGTTGGGACTCTTCAGCAACAATGTTCAAATAGCCTACTGCTAAACCTGAGCCCAGAATCATCTTAACATGTAAAGGAGGTAACACTTAGAAGAATCAAAGTCTGATGACCAATTACAGTAGTTAGCCCATTTTCAGTCATGTCTGAAACTCTGCTGTTGTTAATGAATTGGTTGTTAACTAATATCTTTACTGTAGGCTTTATAGCACAAAAGAGTGTGTGTCTTTTATTCCATCCACTGTTTAGCCTTGAGAACAGAAGATAAACACAAATGGGGATGCTTTCAGTGGCAAGTAACAGAAAAACCTACTCAAACTGGACTAACAGGAAAGTAAAGGCTTCAGGTATGGTTTGATCAGGGATCCAGCTCCACCCATTTCTCTGCAGTTCTCTCAGCATTTCCCTCCTCTATGCTTCAGCTTTGTCCTGAACAAAATTGAAGCAGTTCAACTCCTCACATCCTCAGCTCCACTCTACAGAAGAATGAAGAGAGTTTCTCTCCTACCAAAGTTTGGGTTTTATTCTAATTACTTCCATTTACACCAGGTGCTCAGAGGTGGATTACCCAATACGCAAGGTAAGCATGGACTTAATTGTGCTTACTTACTAATCTGTAGTGAACAATTTCACATGGGTTTCACCACAGCTGATCACCAAGAAAGAAAAGCCAGGAGAGGAGCACATCATCTGGACCAAGGGTCCCTGCACTGAGACCCTCCTAGACTCAGGGGAAAGATTGATGCTAAGACATGTGGAACTCTAGGCCCATGAGAAGTAGGATGCTGCTTTAACAAATACCTAAACTGTGGAAGTGGTTTTGGGATTAGGTAGAGGCTGGAAGAGTGTTTAATAGTAAAAACCTTGATTTCCTTGAAGAGGCTGTTAAAGGCAATTCTGGTGAGGGCTCAGGAGGAGAGGAGAGCGAACACTGGAGATGGTGAAGACGGTGGGTGAGAAACAGCAGCAGAGAAACTGCAGTTGGTAGAACCAGGAGACCAGCATGCGTGCGGGAGTAGAAACCAACCCACAGAGCAGGAGAGCTGAGAGCCTTGGGCCAAGGCTTAGTGGTGGAGCAGGCACTTATGCCTAGAGCTAAAGAGCTTTGTAACACTTGCCAGAGCAGGGCAGAGGCCAAGCGGCCCAAGAGGCCTGAGGGGCTGAGGAGCTGAGAGGCCTAAGAACCTGGAAGCTGAAGAAACAAGGAGCACGGGAAGCAGAGTTGCCTCAATCTCAAATGGTTGGGCCACAACCTTTGGGGTCTCTGATCTTTTATGTGGTAAAAAAACAAAACAAAACAAACCATATGAAACTGTTCACTACAGATTAGTAAGCACAAGTAAGCCTTTGCTTACCTTGCTTACTGGGTACTCCGTCCCTGTCAGGGATTGTAAATTTGAAAAGGGGCTTTCATTCTGTATGAAGGTGCTGTGGGGTTGGGAGAAAGACAGATGCCAGTCATACCTAGAAGCAGAATCTTGGATGTGGTGAAAAAATATGAAATTGTTTACTACAGAGTAGTAAGGAAGCACAAGTAAGTCTGTGCTTTCTTAATTATTGGGTAATCCACCCCTGCATGTGCTCACTCTTAAACCAATCATTGTGGCAAGGGAAGGATGGCATTCCACTGATTGGCTTGCCTAGTGCTGGCAGAAGTCCTACCCATGCTCGGTTGTTTCATGATGGAGTGGGATGTCTAAACAGGAAGTAGCCAAAAATGTCTATTATACTTTGAAAAGAAGTTTTCTTGCATAATCTAATAGCCTGTAATGAGGACAGCAGATGTTGATCAACACAGTCCGTCATGTGTTATGTTTGGCCATTTAAAGTGAGACTCATTTTTGTGTGTGTCACCAAAATCCCAAAACACAAGATAGGACATGATCTACCAAAGACACTTTATTATGTTATCTTCCACAGTTAACAGTCAAGAATGAATAACAACAACAACAAATAAAAATAAACTTTCGATGAGACCAGACATTAGATGAACAAGGACACTACTAATATTAAAGAAAGCCTGGGCTGGGTGCAACTGCTCCTTTTTCAGATTGGGCATGTGTTGGAGACCACAGCTAAGTCTCTGTCACCAGAGAAGGCTGAGGCCCTGATGAGGTGCCTGGAGTCTGCATCAGGAGCTGGACATCCGGGCTCCTGAACACAAGCATCCTCTCTCACCCCCAGCTAAACAGAATGCCTGTAATTTCAAAGTGACCTAATGATCTTGCTCCTGGAGTTCTTGTTTTCATCCCTTTTCCTAGGTTCTGAGTCTTCGATAGAGTATGCATTAGAGGAAGTGTCCATGTGCTTATTGGGCAGGAGCTTCCAGGGAACACGGATCCGGGGTACCTTCTCCTTTGTTCATTCTCCCAGTCCCAGTTTGCCTTTGCCTATGTTTCTCCTATTCCTGGTCATGCATGAGTCTTCCCCTGCCCCTACCACCCACCGTCAATTCGTAACCTCAGAATGCACTCCAGTGGACATTTCTAGCCCGAGCCTTCAAATTAACATCCAAAAGTTCCTGGATTCTCCTTCACTCCTCCCAAAAGAACTGGGAGACATGTCTCTTTTCTGTCTGCTTCCCATAAGGCCAGGTCACATGCCTCCAGCAAGTCAATAAATGTTAGCTGAAACTCCCACATTTGAGAGAGAGAAGTAATGTCCCTACTTTAACTTGTCAGAGTGAACCTGAGAACCTTAAAACATGAACTTTCTTCCCATCCCCTGGAACCTTCACAGCTGAAATTTAAGAATTCAAGAGCATAATTCTTTTAGGAGTGAACAATGCTGGAGAACTTTCTTTTAGATTAGAAATAACTGTTGAAGCCCCACCAGGAAAATAAAAACTATCCATTGTCTTAGAACTTGGTATAGATTTCAGAAAATCAACTATCTCACAAATACCAATAGTATCTCTGTACATTTAATTACAGGCAGTCCCTGGGTTATGAACAAGGTATGTTCCTAAGTGCGTTTTTAAGTCTAAACAAAAAATCAAACTAAACTCATTGTCATCAAGTCAATTCCAACTCATAGTGACCCCCTTTGGGTTTTCAAGGTGGTAAATCTTCACAGAAGGAGATTACATAGCCTTCCTTCTATAGAGTGGCTGGTGGGTTTGAACATCCAGCCTACTGGTTAGCAGTGAAACGCCTTACTCACGATGCTACCAGAGTTCCTTTTCAAGTCTAAGTAAGTCTTTAAGTCAAATTTGTAGTTTAGTTGGAACAGGTGCATGTGGTTCTTATGTAGACTTACTTTAGGGCAAGAAAAGGCTCAAAGCCCTCTCAATGATTTAAAAGCTGCCCATGCAGCAAGTGAAGATGATTGTGATGAAGAATTTGTTGGTTTTAGTGGTTGGTTCAATAGTTTCAAAAGGAGGGCAAATTTATATAACATTAGAAGGTAAGTCCGAGTTGTCTGTAAGTCAGACATTTGTAACCTAGGGATTGCCTGTACATAGGTACTTAGTTAGCAAACAAGATCTATTTATTGCCAGCATTCACAGTTTCCATTCAGAGAGGCTGGAAGATACTGGATGGAAGAGAAACACCAGAGCCAGGTCTTTATCCAGGTCTTCATAGGTGCACACTTCTCTGTCAGTCTTTCTAAATACTCAAAATAATGGCTTGTATGTTAGACTGGGGGTCATAGATGGTTCCAAATTTTCACCATTCTAGACGAAAAGAGAGGGAGAGAGAGAAATATAAGATTCTTAGAAAAGAGGTATTCCAACAGATTAATAAATTACTGATTTGTTAATAATAGATTAATAAATTATTAACATTATTTTCATTAACATTATTTGAATACTGTTATTCAAATTGGGTCCAGACATTGTGGAAGGTATTTTCACATATTAGCTTATTTGATCTTTATCCTATGAGGCAGGCTTCATTTTGTTCATTTCTTAGGTGAGAATTCAAACGTAGAGAAGTCAAACACCTTGTCCCAAATCACACAGTCAGTGAAAGAAGGGGCAGGGATTTGAACCCAGATCTGTCTGACTCTGAATCCCAAATTTTTTCTACTGTTGAAGGGATTTTCTTTAGCAGCTATACCTTATAGTAGGTGAAGTAAGTGCCTCACTAATAAGGAGGGAAGGAAGTTTTTAATGAACTTGATTCTTAAATTTCACCTTACAAAAAGAAAACAAAAACCAAACCCACTGCCATTAAGTCGGTTTCAACTCAAGGTGACCTCCACTATGAGTGGCAGTAAATCCACATCCAAGTAAGTAAATCTTTACAGAAGTACATTGCCCTATTTTCCTTATGTGTAGCCGTGGGTGGGTTTGGACTGGTTAGCAGTCAAGTGCCTTAGGCACTGCCCCACCGGAGCTCCTTAAGCTTCACCTTAGGTGGAGCCAATAGGCCCTCCCTCCCATTGGACACATCCCTGACTATTGCTGGCTGGACCACATGTCTGACCCAGCATGGTACATTTTGTCCAAGTCATCTGTTTGTGCACACATTCAACATTTAGAGTTCCATGGCTAACAGAAATTTTATATCCAAAATAAACTATAGGATTTCAAAATAAAAATAAGCCAGGTTTTTTCAGAATCTTCTAAGTGGCAAGGAACCATTAAGATCCTCAAAGCTGAGTACAGGGCTCCATTAAAAACAAACAAACAAAAAAAACAATAAAACCATCTACATGACACCAAAAAGTCAACAATTACTCTAAAGCAAAGATGAGAAGACAAGGACAGGAATATTAGAGTCCTAGCAGCAGAACAGAATGTAATTAATGAGAATGTTGACATATTATAACTAATGCCACTGAACACCTTGTGTAGAAATTGTCAAATGGGAATCTAATTTGCTATGCAAACTGAAACACAATAAAATAGTATTATTTAAAAAAAGAACAAGATCCTCAAAGGTTGGTGCTGCTCAGAAGGATCTGCAGAGCCGGGATCCTCTGCCTCCCTCCCTCAGTCTCCCTCCACCACCCTTCTGGACCCCTCTCTCCTCCCTTATCCTCTTCAGTGTCCTACTTTACTGGGCCTGGCCTAAACCACCTTCTCTCCCTTTCTCCTCTACTATTCCTTTATTTTAGTTTTTAATTTCTTCCCTAGACTTTCTTTTTTAAAATCTCTTTTCACCGCCCCCCCATCCTTCACCATTGTTTCTTGATTTTCCATCTCAGTCCCTTTGTGACTCCTCTTCCATCACATTCCCCATAGGCTTGCCTCTTACAGACTTTCTCCTCAAATATTTTCATTCAGATCAATGCCAGCTATGATTATCCAATACAAATCTAAGGAGTACAAACTATTCTCCTTGAAAGTCCTCCCCAGAGGGAAAAATATCACCAGCCTAACTTGTTTTCTCTCTCTAAAAAATCTCTTTAGAACTGAAGTCTAGTTGGAGGAAAAGGAATATTTGCTTTTGGACAGCCTGGCTGGAAATGATGTTTACATGTTTATGTCATTGCTCTGGCCTGATCTAGGACCTTGGACCTTAAATAAGTCTGGGAACTGCCATCATTATCACTGGAGTCATTTCTATAGAACTTTATAATTTTAAGGGACCTGCACCTGTTGTCAAGTCAGTTCAGACTCTTGGCAACCCTATGTGTATCAGAACAGAACTGTTTCTTCCTAGGGTTTTCAATGGCTGATATATATATATTTTTTTTTTCAGAAGTATATCACCAGGTCTTTCTTCTGAGGCACCTCTGGGTGGACTCACACTTCCAACCTTTTGATTAACAGCTGAGCGTGTTAACTGTTTGCACCACTCAGGGATTCTTAAAGGGACGTTAAGGTCAACTAAGTTAAAGTTTGTCTTTTCTCCATGAGAACAATCAAAGGTCAGAGAAATTAACTGATATGTACAAAGTCACAGGTTAGACACCACACACACACACACACACACATACACACAAATTATAATAGCTCTTGGGGTTAGCTCTGGTGGCGTAGTGCCTAAGGCATTTGACTGCTAACCACAAGGCTGGCAGTTCAAACCCACCAGCCACTCCTCAGAAGAAAGACTGGGTAATCTTCCGCAGAGATACCGCCTTAGAAACCCAAGGCAGGGTCCCTATGAGTCAGGATCGACTTGACAGCAGTGAGTTTGATTTTTTTTTTTTTTTTTTTTTAATTATTATTGTGCTCAGCTGCTAACTGAAAAGTCAGAGGTTCTAACCCACCAGCCACTTGATAGGTGAAGATGTGGCAGTCTGCTTCCCTAAAGATTACAGCCTTGGAAACCACGTGGGGCAGTTCTACTCTGTCCAATAGGGTGGCAATTTGACAATAATGTATTTACAATAGCAGAGTCAACTTGACAGCATTGGTTTATTTGTTTATTTACTTACAAAACAGGCAGCTTTCTCTTTCATCTTTCTCTTTTGATAGAATAAGCAAACAAGCAAAAGCCCCTGCAGGGCAGCCAGGGTGTGGTGAAGACACAAGTAGTGGGGTTCCTACCCTGCCCTGGGCCATTTCACTATGAAAAGCCAAAGAGGAGAACCCACTGTCTCACCAATAGTCAGGGCTGACTTACCTCTCGGATTTACATAAGGATTTTGTGGCTGACTGTCTCTGGAGGCCACGGTCCTGACTTTAGGGAAGATGCTCCCATCTGCTCCCAGGTTGGTGAATCCTGTCTGTGTCAGTCTCAGATTTTGAAAGTCCTCCTCAATCAAATTCTGTTCTTCAATATTCTTCTTTTTCTTTGATCTGAAATTGGTAACAGGAATTAGGATCTGACAGTGGCAGAAAATCCTTTGAAGTAAATGTTAACATTAAAAAAAAATTAATTTTGAAATTATTTAAAATTTACATATATTGTAAAAATATTGCACAGAGCTCCCATATGCCCATCACTTAGATTCCCCAACTGTTAATATTTCTGAACCATTAGAGAATGAGTTGCAGATCTCATGCCCATTACCTGTAACACTTCATTCGGTGTGTATTTCCTGTGTTTATGGACAATTTCCTAATAAGCACAGTGTAACCATCAAAATCAGGACATTAACAAGGACCCAACATTACCAAGTAATTCCACTGGCCCTGTGGTAGTTAAGGTTATGTGTTAACTTGGCTTGGCCTGGTTTTGAGTGGCTGGGCAGCTGGATGTAGTTATTCCCCATGATGAGACTGGTAATCAACTCCTTGGTGGAATCTGCTGTGAGTAGCTGTGTAGCTGCCTTGGGGCTATGGTCTGCTTCCAGTATAAGGAGAAGTTTTGAAAGCTGTCTCTGAGCTTTTAGCATGCTTGGACCCTGCATTTAGCTGAGTCTTCATTCAGCATGTTCCCTTGTTGCCTGCTTATCTTGGAACTGTTTCTGGACTTGAACTAGTGGCCTGCCGTGTTGCTTGATAATCTTGAGACTGTGTCACTTTACTTGTTGACCTTGGGTTTGTCAGCCTTAGCAGCCAGTAGCTGCCTAAGAGAAGCCTCCAGCTTCAGTGAGCCGGGAGCAAGAGGCAGAGCTGAAGCCCAAGGTGAAGGGGCTTTCATCCAGCCCCTAAAGCAGACACTTAAACTTGGATTTCTAACCTCCTAAACTGTAAGAGAATAAATCCCTGTTTGTTAAAGTCACTCATTTGTGGTATGTTTATTATAGCAGCACTCTACTCCAAAAACCAAATGCACTGCTGTTGAGTCGGATCCGACTCACAGCAACCCCTGCTTGGGTTTCCGAGGCAGTATCACTACTGAAGTAGATCGCCCAGTCTTCCTTCCGAGGAGTGGCTGGTGGGTTTGAACTGCCAGCCTTGTGGTTAGCAGTCAAATGCCTTCAGCACTATGCTACCAGAGTTTCTAGGGCAGCACTGTTGTTGTTATGTGCCATCAAGTCGGCCAAGGACCAAAACAGGCCCCATTCAAATTTTGGCAATAATGTTAATATTATTCTCAAATGTGCTTTTGAATTACTTATGGAAGTAATAGTAAAAGTCAAAGAGAAAATATGATTTATGAAATAATTCTTCATTAAGCAAAGTCAATGTCTTTAGAAACATTTCAGTGGGTAAAATGAGTTCAAGTTATAAAGGTTTTGAAAGAAGAAGTAGAAGTTTCCCAGGTTCTGCTGGGGCTCTTCAAGGATCTCAAGTTCAAGCACTCAAAGCCACGGGGAAGTAATTCATCCAAGTGAGAGGCATCTGCCCCCAAATTACCCTGGTTGTTCATGACCTTCATTCCTCCCGGGCACACAGGCCATGGCCCTCCTCCTACAGTACCCTGGAACTTAGGGTGGGCTTCTATAGCCCTCACAGAGACATTCCCAGGATGGCAGTCACCGCCTGGCACACTGGGAATATTGTAAAGGAAGGTCCTCTCACCCTGTGACCCTGTTGGCTAGCCCAGCCCACAACAGAGGTTTTGCCCTTTGATAACATTCCTGTCCAAGGTGGCTGATGAGAGGCCTCCCTTCCCTTTAAATTGGGCAAGAAATGTCTAATTCTGGGTAGGTTTCCAAGAACCATGATCTGTAACTGGACTAAGAGCAAACCTGGTTCTGAAGGAGGGACTGAGAAACATGGCTGCCACAGGGTCACGAGGTTCTAAGAAAGTCCCTGGTGACCTTGAGGACCCAGGATAGCCCACCAATCCTCCAAAGGAAGGAGGAGATGGTTTTGCTTCAGAATCAGTATGCTCTGGCTCTCTCCCTAGAAAAGGAAAATCAGAGAAGATGTGGGTGCCTATGGTTCTAATTCCAGCTTTGCTTCCTAGGAGAAGAGTGAATATGAAAATAGAAAGAAGAGACAAAATGCTTTAGGAGTCTAATATATGTTTATCCTCTTACATTATAGTAGAAAAATACTGTACTTATTTGGCCAAAATATAATGTTTGAGCTAGATGTTAAAAAAAAAAGTAGCTGATTTTTATCAAAGTGGATCCCCGCAGAGGTAAGATATTCCTGGCACATTTAGTGGCCTAGGGATAATACCATTCTCTCTCAAATTTCTCAAAAAAACCCACTGCCATTGAGTCAGATCTGACTCTTAGTGACCCCTTGTTGTTGTTGTTGTTATTTGCCGTCAAGTCGGCCCTGACTCATAGCAATCCCTCCTTGGGTTTCCAAGGCAGTATCACTACTGAAGTAGGATTGCCCAACCTTCCTTCCCAGGAATGGGTCTGAACCGCAAGCCTTCTGGTTAGCAGTCAAGTGCCTTAGGCACTAAGCCACCAGAGAACCCTTAGCACATCTAAATATTGAACGGCGTCCCTGGGTTATACTAACTGAAAGATTGGTGGTGCAAGTCCACCAGAGGTGCCTCGGAAGAAAGACCTGGACACTTACTTCCAAAAAATCAGCCGTTAAAAACCTTATGGAGCACAGTTCTACTCTGACAGTGTACGCGGTTGCCACGAGTCAGAATCTACTCTACAGCAGCTGGTAATATTAAATATTGAATAAATATTTAATGAATTTTACTTATAAATTATAAATAAATATTGACTATATGAATGGAAGGAGCTCTGGTGGCGTAGTGCCTAAGGCATTTGACTGCTAACCAGAAGACTGGCGGTTCAAACCCATCAGTCACTCCTCGAAAGGAAGGTTGGGCAATCTACTTCCGTAGTGATACTGCCTCGGAAACCCAAGGAGAGGTCGCTTTGAGTCAGATCTGACTACATGGCAGTTTTGGTTTATATGAATGGACACCAACCCCCTTCCCTTAGGAGAAGAGATCTTAAGGCACGAAGCTGAGGAGTGGCCATGTAGAGATGACATTTCTACTTTTTTAAAGCTCAGGGGCTTAGTTGAGGTTGATTTTAGACCATTGGCTGCAGGGTCCTGAGCAAGAGAATTAAAGACTTGATGAAAATAATGTTTGACAAGTTAAATGGAGTTAAATACTGTTAGAAAGTTTTTCATGCCATTAAAAAATGGTTGCTCTGTTGTAATATGTTGTTGTTGTTATGTGCTGTGGAGTTGGACCTGACTCATAGTGACCCCTCCCGTGGGTTTCCGAGGCAGTATCACTACAGAAGTAGATTGCCCTATCTTCCTTCCGAGGAGTGGCTGGTGGGGTTGAACCTGTTGTAATATAGCGTTAAGCAAAAAGAAAACAAAATATAAATGATGCCAAATCAAGGATATACATATATGCTTCATTTAACATCTGTTTGGCTGACCACATACATGTCCCTGGTCCCATAGGTTATAATACCAAAAAATCCACTGCCTTGGAGTCAATTACAACTCATAAATGACCCTGTAGGATAGAGCAGAACTGCCCCATAGGGTTTCCAAGGCCTGTAAACTTTTACAGAAGCTGACTGACACATCTTTCTTCCCAGGGAAGAGCTAATGGGTTTGAATCACCAACCTTGCTTTTAGCAGCCAAGCGCTTTAACTATTGCACTACCAGGGCAACGGTAAAGTTATTATATAGTTCAGAAATCCTTATTCCAGAACAGGACTTAGTGGAGGTAATTTGCTGAGTAAGGTGATTTGATTTGTCTTGGCTCTGGGGAGGCGGAGGGGGGGGGCGGGCTGCAAGGGGAAGGGGTCCTGGCGTCCATCTGTGTTGGCCTGTCCCACCGTGCTCCCTCAGGCAGGGTCCATTCAGTCCCACTAGAGCCGCTGAAGCTACTGCCCTACTCAGCCTGGGTGCCCAGTGCCTGACACCAGGCCGAAAGTCACAGCTCCTCCTGCAGTTGCGGCTACAGAGCCATCTGGCTGTGGCAGTGAAGACAAGAGGAATAGGAAGGGAGTGGGGGAAGAGAGGTGGGGATGAGGGGCGACCTGGGCTGGAAGAGTTTGGAAGGCAGGCGGAGAGTAAGGAAAGGAGAACTTCAAGGCCAGGTGGGCCAGGAGGCACCTCTGGGGGGCTGCAACTGAGGCGGAGGCAGGAACCACGCAGGAAAGATAGTGGCAGAGCCAGTTTTCTTGCAGTGCCTTGGCATGGCTGCAGAGGTTCAAGTCCCCTGCTTGCTCTGTGATGGTCGTGAGTGCCTCTCTCCTGTGTATAATACAGCATTCACACAACGTCCAAATCACGTAAGTTCTGTTTCACAGAAAGTAAGGCGTCCTGGTGGCACAGTGGTTAAAGCTCTTGGCTGCTTACTGAAAGGTCAGTGGGTGGTTCAAATGCACCAGCTGCGGGAGAAAGATGTGGCAGTCTGCTTCTGTAAAGATTTACAGCCTTGGAAACCCTGGAGTGGTAGTTCTACCCTATTCTATAGGGTCACTATGAGTTGGAATAGACTCAACCACAGACGGTTTGGTTTTGGGTTGTTTTGTTTTGTTTTCCACAAAATGTACCTTGGACATTAAGCAATGTGTGCCTGCAATATCATTTAAAAAACAGAAAAGAGCCTGGGGGTGTATATGCCAAAATGTTAGTAGTAGTTGCCTTAGGATGGTGGGATTTGTGGGAGCAGCTTTTTTTATTCTGTAACTCTTTACACAGTTCTGTTGTTGTGTGCCCTGGAGTTGGACCTGACTCATAGCAACCCCTCCTTGGGTTTCTGAGGCGGTATCTCTATGGAAGTAGATTGCCCAATCTTCATTCTGAAGAGTGGCTGGTGGGTTTGAACTGCCAGCCTTCTGGTTAGTAGTCAAGTGCCTTAGGAACTACGATACCACACATTTCTCTATTTCCTAGGTTTCCTTCAATGATCATGGCCTGCTTACATAAGCAGAAGAAAATTAAGGGAACAAAGTAAATGGCATCAGAGAAGCCTCCCCTTATCTCCTTTGTCTTGCATGGGAAACACTGGTATGTTTGGAAACCAGAGTCAATGCTGATGGTGCTGTGCCCCAGGAAAGTGACACTTTCATTCCGTACCTTGATAAGACGATCAGTACAATTACCAGGCCAAGAATGAGGATGCCAGCAATGGTGCCCACAATGGTGAGGATCAGCTGAAATTCTGCAAGGGAAGAGAAAGTTAGAAATGGCCCCCAATAAGCAGGTCCCCAAATGTCTACTGCACAGGTATGTGTGTGCGTTCCTAGTGACTCCTGTTTCTGAGAAGCATCAGGCTCTGGCCTCTATCCCCTCCTCCAGGGCCAGGCTGGTGAGTAGCTTGTCTCCTTTTGCTGTCACTGACTATATCCTCCAGAACTCAACCAGGAGAGACAGCCTTGCCAGGTAAAAGAAGACCATCCTTTGTTATGCAGTGACTCATAAATACAAAGAAAACTGAAAGTGGTAGGGTCCACTCTTCCCTCTTTATGTTTCCTGCCTTTGCTCACCCGCCATACCTTACCTTACTGATAAGGCTAACAGCGAGCTAGTGGAAGTATGTTGAAATTAAGCTAGTTACCAATGTAGTACCAGTACCGGTTACCAATGAGTTGATTCTGACTCATGGCAATCTCATGTGTTCCAGGGTTTTCATGGCTGTGACCTTTTGGAAATAGATTGCCAGGACTTTCTTCCCATGTACCTCTAGGTAGGTTCGAATCACCAGTCTTTCAGTTAGTAGCCTAGTGCTCAACCATTTTTGGCACCCAAGGACTGTCATGTTACTAATATAGGAGCCAGGTAATGAATGGCTTAATGGAACTGGAGAGGGTAGAGTTTAGAATTTCATTACCACCCATTCTCCTCCTGTAGATCTGATTTGTTTAGTGCCTTGAGCACTTGAAATGTGGTTAGGAGTGTAACACACACACCAGATTTTGAAGACTTAGTATACAATGTAAACTATCTCATTTGTAATATTTACATTGATTACATGTTTAAATGATAATATTTTGGATATAGTTGGTTAAATAAAATATATTATTTAAATTAACTTCACTTATTTCTTTTTACTTAATTTGGGAGCTCTGGTGGCATAGTGCCTAAGGCATTTGACTGCTAACCAGAAGGCTGGCAGTTCAAACCCACCAGCCATTCCTCAAAAGGACGGTTGGGCAATCTACTTCTGTAGTGATACCCCCTCAGAAACCCAAGGAGGTGTCACTATGAGTCCAGAGTAGTGGTTGCGTTTTTGTTGTTATTTTAATTTACCTAAAAACTTTCAAGGGAGTTCTGGTAACATAGTGCCTAAGGCACTTGGCTGCTTGCTAACCAGAAGGCTGGCGGTTCAAACCCACCAGCCACTCCTTGGAAGGAAGGTTGGGCAATCTATTTCTGTAGTGATACCTCCTCAGAAATCCAAGAAGGGGTCACTATGAGTCGGGTCTGACTCAAAGGCACATAACAACAACAACAACAACAAAACTTTCAAGTGTATAATTAAATACGTAGCTCACATTATATTTCTATTGGATTGCACTTCTCTGTTTTTGTTGTGTGCTGTCAAGTCAGTTCCAACTCATAGAGACCCTATAGGACTACCCCATAGGGTTTCCAAGGCTAAATCTTTATGGGAGCAGATTGCCAGGTCTTTCAACCCATACATTGGTAAGTTCAAACTGCTGACCTTTCAGTTAGCCACTTAACATCATATCACCAGGGCTCCTTAGCACTGTTAAAGACTTAGCACTCATAGTAACCCTTTAGGACTGAGTAGAACTTCCCCATAGGGTTTCCAAGGCTGTGTACCACCAGAGCCCTCTAATTGTCTTTTTCTGTTATGTGACAACCATGATCTTTTTTTTTTTTTTTTTTAATTGTGATTTGGGTGAAAGTTTACAGAGCAAATTCACTTTCCATACAGCAGTTCGCATACTCTTTGTCTCATGACATTGACTACAGTATCCCACAATGCAACAGCTCTCTTCCCACTTCCTCCCGATAGTCACCTCTTCCCTGTGTCCATCCCTCCATGCACCCCCTGAGCTGTCTCCCGGTGCATACACAGCCCTTCTATTCTCCCATGATTATTCTCTCCAAGGAATGTATCTACCTAATGTTAATGTTCACCTCATATGCCTGTCTTTTGTTTGGCTGGAAACCACAGGTGTGGGTTCAATTCCAGACCTGAAGGGCAGCTAGGGGCCATAGTCTCAGGGGTTCCACCAGGCTCTATCAGACCAGCAAACCTGGTCCTTTTTTTTTTTTTTTATTTTTTGTTTTCCCTCCAATGATTTTGAATTTTGTTCCACATTGTTCTCCCTCTCTATCAAGGATCTCCTACATAGATCTCCTTTCAAGTGGATGACAGTGGTAGCCAGGCACCATCTAGTTCTTCTGGTCTCATAGTCATATAGGCTGCAGATCAGATGGTGTACCAGTTGCTAGGACTAATTATTTCCATGAATTTCGATTTTCTTCATTCTTCTTTGTTCCAGATGAGGAGAGACCCATCATTGTATCTAGATGGCAGCTTGTTAGCTTTTAAGATCCCAGTTGCTACTTGCCAAGGTATGAGGTTGAACAATGTTTTGTGTAGTATGTTATGCCAATTGAGCTTGATGACCCCTGCGACTATGACAATCATGTTCTTATGAGTTGGAATTGACTTGATGGCATTGGGTATGAGTTTTTTTTTTTTTTTTGGACAGCCATATATACCACCTCCAACCTGGATTCATGGAGGCCACAGACTATTAGGAAGAAGCTCTGTTGGTGTAGTGATTAAATGCTCAGCTGCTAACTGAAAGACTGGTGGTTCAAACTCACCAGCTGCTCCAGGGGAGAAAGATGTGGCAGTCTGCCTCCATAAAGACTAAAACCTTGGAAACCTTATGGAGTAGCTCTACTCCATCCTATAGGATCACTGTAGTAAGAATAAGGAACTCAACAGCAATGTGTTTTTTTTTTTTTTTTAATAGACCATTAGTAAGGAATCCTGGTAGCATATGGTTAAGTGCTCAGCTGCTATCTAAAGGGTCAGTAGTTTGAACCCACTCAGTGGTTTCATGGGAGAAAAGACCTGGTGATTGGCTCTTGCAAGGAGTACAACCTAGGAAACCCTATGGGGCAGTGCTAACCTGTCATGTAGGATCACTATGAGTTGTAATTGACTTGACTTGATGACAAATAACAACATAGTCTGGAAAAGATCTCTAAGGCCATTAGATCTAAACCTCCTATTTTATGGATGTTGTAAGTGGAGGACTAAAAGGAAGAAATGACTTAGCAAATTCTTCCTTGCAACAAACTACACTAGACATTGAGAGCATTTCTCATCACTTATTTTGTGGCTCGCTAGGAGGCCAGTAGTAATACTGTTTCCTTCATCTTGGATCACTGATCTTTAGTTTATTATGCAAAAATTGAAATATAAAAAGTTAGTATTATTCCAATCTGGTAGGGACGGGGCTGGGGAGGGAATAAAGCAACTGAATTTGCAGTAACACATTCCAAACCAATCCATAGATCTGAGACAAAGGGAAGATTTGAATATTTAAATGTCTAGTTTCTAGTTATGGTTTCTTCTAACCAAATAAATTTTTAGAATGTATTGGCGGCATAATGCTTAAAGCATTTGGCTGTTAACCAAAAGGCTGACAGTTTAAACCCACCAGCTGTTACATGGAAGGAAGATGAGGCAGTCTACTTCCAAAGAGATTTACAGCCTTGGAAACCCTATGGAGCAGTTCTACTCTGCCTTATAGGGTTGCTATGAGTCAGAATAGATTCTATGGCAGTGGGTCACTGAGTACTGATCTTTTATTTTTTCTACTATCAGAAAAATGCATATGTAACTTATGTAGGAAATGAACATAATGTTAGAAGACATCAGAGAGCATTTTTCTCTGGTCTGGGGTGAACACAGAGACCCTAGGCCATGCTTTGGGCAGAGTATGTTATTTCCTACATCAGATATGCTGCTGCCCATTACCTGGGCTGGGCTGGGGCAGGGCAGGCATGGAATGGCATGACCCAGAAGATAAACTGCAGGCAGATTTTCTCTCTCTTTATAAAGGGAGCCAGAGACTTTGGGAGACAGGACAAGCTTTCTAATATGATTAATATTTTTTTCTCAGACATTTAAATAACAAAGCAAGATTTTATACTCACGGTCTTCACAGTTGGCTCCACTGTAGCCAAATGGACACCTAAAATACATTAAGCAATAGGAAACCATGTAAAAGGGCCCCTGTGGGAGAGCAGGTTGGAGTTCCCATCCCACCCAATCTCCATATCTTCCTTCATTTCCTTCATTCAGGGTCCGTGGGTAGCACAAGTGGTTTGTGATCCTCAAGGTGCTAACCTCAAGGTTGGTGGTTTGAATCTACTCAGCAGCTCCCTTGGAAAAAGCCCTGGTGTCTGCTCCTGTAAAGATTGTTGTTGTTGTTGTTGTTGTGTGCCGTCGAGTCGGCCCCGACTCATAGCGACCCCTCCTTGGGTTTCCGAGGCAGTATCACTACAGAAGTAGGATTGCCCAACCTTCCTTCCGAGGAGTGGCTGGTGGGTTTGAACCGCCAGCCTTCTGGTTAGCAGTCAAGTGCTTTAGCCACTATGCTACCAGAGCCAAGAAAACCCTGTAGAGCAGTTCTGTTCTGTAACACATGGCGTCACCTTGAGCTGGAATTGACTCAACAGCAATGAGTTTGCCTTCATTTGCTCTCTCTTTCTCTATTCTTCTTTGTTGTTATTGTTAGTTGCCATTGAACTGATTCTGACTCATGGAGACCCCACGCATGCAGAGTAGAACTGCTCCACAGGGTTTTCAAGGCTGTGACCTTTTGAAAGTAGACTGCCAGGCCTCTCTTCCAAGGAGTCTCTGAGTGGATTTGAGCCATTAACCTTTTGGCTAGTAGAGTACTTATCCATTTGCACCATCTGTTCTTCCTTATGCTCTCTTTATTCCAGTTGTGCATCTTCCGTGGGACTCTGGAAACTTGAGGGAGGTGTACAATCCCATGTGGTCTCATCTTTCACTGACTGAACACCCTATCTTTTGAGCTCTAGGAAGATACTCTGCAATTCAGGCAGAGTTGATCCCAGGCTGTGAGGCCACATGGCTCAGTCATTTGCTGCTATGCGAGCTTAGGCATGTTGATAAGGCATTTGACTGTTAACCAGAGGTCGGCAGTTCAAACCCATCAGCTGTTCCTCAGGAGAAAAATGAGGCAGTCTGCTTCTGTAAAGATTTATAGCCTTGGAAATCCTATGGGCAGTTCTGCTCTGTCCAATAGGGTTGCTATGAGTCAGAATTGACTCAATGGCAGTGGTTTTTTTTTTTTTTTTTTTTAAGCCTCAGTTTTCTTGCCTAAAAATGAGAAAATAATATAACACTGATGGTGGTGTTATAGTGTGGGAGGTGTGGTTCCTAGCACATAGACCAAACAAACAAACAAACAAAAAAACTCAGACCCATTGCCTTCATATTGGTTCCCACTCATAGTGACCCTGCAGGAGAGGGTAGAACTGCCCCATAGGGTTTCCAAGGCTATAATACTTTATGGAAGCAAACTGCCTCATCTTTCTTCCATGAAGCAGTGGGTGCGTACAAACCACCAACCTTTTGATTAATAGCTGAATATTTAACCACTATGCCACCAGGGCTCCTTTAGCACATAGAGAAAGCTCAAAAACCATTGATGACGATCTTTACATGCCAATTTGTGCCAGTTCACTAACTTCCTCACTCTAAGCTCTTATATATGTTGCAAGCTCTATCCTTCTCACTTATCTCCAGCTATGGCAAGATATTTTAAAAAAAAAAGTGATTCCCCTTACGTTTCACAGGTCCCATCCTTGTCCTGGTAGCCTGGCAGGCACACACACTCAGAGGCCCCACTGTCATCCTTCAGTAAGCATTGCTTGTTGTTCTTTTCAGTGCAGTCAACAGGGCAGTTTGCTTGGAGGGCTTCAAAACAGAGATTCTGGGTAATTTTCAGAAACAACCTTTGTCAACCCCCAAGTGACATGTCATAAAAGGCAATTTTTCTCACACTTTCGAGGTAAAACAAAGACATCTGGAAGTGCTCATGGGCTCCTCATAGGTGCTCACATTCTGCCTTGCCAACCTGTAGTGGAGGCCCCAGTCTAGGTGCCAATGTCTAATGCCCACATTCCCATTGAGCAGTAAAGCAAATGCAAAAGGAGAGGGCAGGGATTGTGAAGAGTGTTAACAAGCAGGTTGCACACTTACCAAAACAGAAAGGGACCTGTGGGTTAGGTCTTTTGAACCCATCTTTACATTCACATTGTAAACTGCCGCAGTCATCTTTAGTAGTGTTTTTACAACCGTAATAATCACACCGACCTTGCACTAAATGGGAGGCACAAGTAATTAAAAAATACATTTAGCAAGACACATGGACAGATTAAATGTGAAAGCACCCCAATCCATTGTTGTTATGGTTTGACTTTTAATAAGTTTTGGGATTTTTCCAATGAAAATCTAGGATTCTGAAATCCAACTCCCCAATCCTCTCTCCCATGGCTATTTCCTTATGTCTTTCAGTTCAAATTAATTCAATCACTACAGTGCACTTATGTTCAAATTCAAGATCTGTGCTAGGTTTTACAAAGGGCGTAGAAGTCACATAAGCTTTGGCCTCATCTTTGTAGAGGGATACATTTGAACTCAGAAAGAGCCCTACAAAATAATTCCTAGTCCAGCACCAGGCTGTGTGGTCCAGACTTTAAGTACAATGGAATTTTCTTTAGTGTCTTTGCCAGGTAGATTTGAATGGACATTGCTAAGAGGAGACAGAACCCAAGGAAGAGGACATAGCACAGGGAACCCCTAATCTGCTCTGAGGGAATTGTTTTTTATCCCAGAGTGTTTATTTCCTAGGTGAGAGTTCAGGGAGAATCTTCATGAAATCGTGAACATGAGAAAAGGTGCAGGAAAATTGTAAATGAGCAGGATTTGTTTATGTTTGCAAAAAGAGAAATACATTTTTACAAAATAGGCCAGGGAGGTTATAATCATTAAAAAGCAAAAGAGCAAAAAAAAAAAAAAAAAAGGATGGGAGAGTCAGGAAGGAGATTAAAAAAGAGGTGGGCAGAGGCCCAGGGAGAAGCGGATTTAAAGAAAGGAAGGATCCCAGTGCCAAATGCTACAGAAAAGCCAAATAAATTGCAGCCCAGAAACTGGTTGATGGTACCATCAATGGTAAGCCTTTGGATGGTATGGCCATCAGGACTGAGACCCAGTTGTACAAAGCCTCCACTAGGGTTGACCCTGGCAAATGACTTCCGAAGAACTCCTGGTGGTAGCTGTGGTGCCAACTTACTCATGCCTTCCTGTAACCATACCCTTTGGAAGGACTGTTACACACTATACTTGGTCATTTGGATTGCTTTGGCCACTGGGATAGGAGCAAACGTGATTAGCATAGACTTGAAAAACACTTGTGCACTGAAACTTTCCTTCTTGCTGCTCTTGAAACCCTTCAGGACTACCCTGCTGGAGGATGAAAGACCCTGTGGAGCAGAGACAAACCATCCTTCTGAGGCATCTTTGATTAGTCGGCCCTCAGCCAACCCAGAAGCTAATGGCAGATACTTAAGTGAGCTCAGGAGAGATCAGCCACACAGGGCCCAAAGGAGCAGAACAACCGAGCTGAGCCCAGCACAAATTGTGTCCCACAGAATTATGGGGTTGAAATAAATAAATTATTTTCAGTCATTAAGTTTTGGGGTGGTTTGTAACATATCAAATGCCAATTGTTACAGCTGCTCTGTGGGCTTGCATGTCAGCTTCAAGGGAAACAGTATAGGTAAAACTTTCCATAAACATTTGGAAAGTTACAACTTAGTGTAAAGCCCTCTTTTTTCTCCTTCCTTCATTTTTCTCTGCTCAAGGACTATTTCTCTGGTCACTTATTACTTAACAAGAAGAGGAACAAACCAGAAAGTTTGGTCATTTGGGAGATAGCGGGAAAGAAGGCTAGAAGCTAAATAAGAAAAGAAAGGGAAAAAGAACACACTGGTTAAAAGAACATTTGGAGATATCTGTGGATGTGTTGATACAGTTCTTCCCCCTTCTCACATGTAGTGGTCAGGTGTACAAAAAGGAAGGTAGATCTCTATATAAACATGAATAAAATTATGTAACACTTACTAGTATATCCTTCAATCCCACTTGCACCATCTTTAAGTGCAGTTTGAATTATTTCAGACACATCCTTCTCACTTTTCTTTGTAGTTTTATCAAAAATGTTTGCTACTGAAACATCAACAGCCTGGTCAGCACGCATTCCAGATCTTGCTGAAGGAGATGTGCTAAAAAAGAAATGAATCACTATCACTTGATGTATTGAACCAAAGGATCAACAAATAGGTTTTCTAATCTCCCAGACACTGAATCCTCTAGTCCTAGTCCTAACCCACTGCCCTGTCTCTAGAATTGGGGCCCAAGTGTGGAGGACCAGGGTTGCAATAAGATGGAAAGTTACAACCCTGAGATCTCTATTCAATGTGCTTTCAGAGAAACTATGGCTAAAACAATGTCCTGGTGGAGATTACTTAGGAAAATTTTGGGTAATTGTTTTTAGGATCCAGGAGCCTGGTATTAACCAGAAATAGAAAAGTAACATCAGAAATAGTCAGTGATCGCTTTTCCTAGAACAGAAAGAGTATGTCTCTTGCTGAGCTGTTATATCTCAGGCTTGTAGTTTGAGAAAGAAAGGGGGGCATGTATACCTCCCTGTGCATGGAGAAAGCTGTAATCAGCCACACAGTCTGGGTCATTCCCAGAAAGGCCTGGAAATCAGTAGATAGGTTCAAAGTGGGTATAGGATTGGGCCTGGGCACATACGACCCAGAGGAGAACTGAAGCAAAGAGGGATAGGACTATGGGGCAGATAATATCAAATTGTATTGTTAAATATTGAGGAATTGCCATAAGCAAGACATTGTCATAGTCTGTCTACCTGTCTCTCTCTCTTTCTCTCTCATCAACAGTGCAGATTGGAGCCCTAAGAACAACCGTGCCACATCCTAATTCTCTCATTGTCTGAATGGGGTCAAGTGATAGAACTATTGAGAGAGAGAGAGAAAAGGACTTTAACAAAAATTTTTCCTTACCTGATTTGTGGGTGTGTGTTTTTAAAACTCAGAATATAGTTTACCTGTTCAATTTTTAAAATAATTTTCATTGTGATTTGGGTGCAAATTTACAAAGCAGATTTGCTTTACTCTCAATAGTTCATGCACATTTGGTTTCATGGCCCTGATTACAATCCCTAACCATAAAGAGCTCCTTCCTATTATTACCCCTTCCCTGTGCCCTTCTTTTCTATGCATTCCTGTCTGTTTAGCTTTCACTCTATGTGAATGCTGCCCTTCTGATATCTCATGGTTGGTTGATCTAGGGGATGCATCTCCCTGGGGTAAGTGTTCTGCTTATAGGTCTTCCTACTGTTTTAATGAGAACTAATCCACAGAAGTGAGTCCATTTCCAGGTCCTGTCCAGTTTTTTATATAGTCCATTTTGACTTTTGACTAAATACATAATGCTCAAAATGAATAAATAAATGCTTGAAAAAGAGCCAGCCTATTTAGTTTGACATGTTTGAAGCCATGTTGGTTCCCCAGAACAATCAAGAAAATCCAAAACATGGAACCAAATTTCATTTTAAAGAACAATCACCTTAAAAGTGAGTCCAATTTTTTTTTTTTTTTTAATTTGGAGATACCTGTGGATGTGTAGATACAGTTCTTTCCCCTTCTCACATGTAGTGGTCAGGTGTACAAAAAAGTGTCAGGTGTACACAATTCGTTCATGACAGAACTGGGGAAAGGAAGAGTGGAATACATAGGGCAGTAAGACAGGTTATTCCACATAGGTTGAAAATGACTGATGTCTAAGGCATAATTCTGTACTGCAGCTAGAAAAGAAAATGTTATCCATAATTCATTAATTCAAAGAACCTACTAGTTTATAATCCAATTTAGGAGACAAGGCATTACACAGAGCTTGGAACTGGTTCATTCCAGTTATACTTCCATGCTGATCACTTGCATTTCTACTCAGATATCCTGAATCAGAATCTACATTTTAACAAGATACATATTCTTATGTATACAGAAGAATCACCTATGGATCTTTAAGAATCACCTAGGGATACTGTTAAATTGTAGATTCTGATTCATTGTATCTGGGGTAGAAAAGCAAATTCTCGGGGTGGAGGTGGGGCTCAAATTGGAATTAACTGGTTCAAAGTCCTGGTTCAAAGAGAGGTTTAAACAACAACAACAACAACAACAACAACAGCAAACTTCAAACTCACTGCCATGGAATCGATTTGACTCATAGCTCCCCCTCTTTGGGTTTCTGAGGCGGTACCTGTATGGAAGTAGATTGCCCAATCTTTCTTCCGAGGAGTGGCTGGTGGGTTTGAACTGTCAGCCTTCTGGTTAGCAGTCAAATGCCTTAAGCACTATGCCAGCAGAGCTCCCAATGAAAGGTTTAGGAGTGAGAAATTCTAAGGGTCTTTTCAGTTACAACATTTGCACCATTTGTAGCTTGGGGATTCAGAGGAGAGAGACAACATTGTGAGTTGGAACCTAAGAAATGTCTTCTTAGGTGAAACTAGGTCCACTCATCCTGCAGTGGTCCCTCAGAAGTGGAAGTAGTTTCCCTCCAGGACACTGAACTCACAGGTAAAGGTTTACTCCCAAATACCCCTGACTCCTTTTCAGTAACTTCTTAAGAATGAAAAAAGTACCACCGTTTCAGGGAACTCCTCCAAACAACTATGTAGTCCCACAACCTGTTTGGGAAATAAAATCTAACATATGTTGAAATCTACTATGTGCCCACTACTGTGCACAGGGAATCTTCCAAAAATCATCTCATTTTACTCCACATAAACTTCCAGGGAAGTAGATAGATAAACCCAGTTATACAGATGAGGTAACAAAGGCTCGGAAACACCTGCCCTGTCATGCAGCGAGCAAGGCCAGGGTTCAAATCAGGGCTTCTAACTGGTTTGAAACAGTTTAGTAATGTCTGATGCAGTGAAATCAGAAGACCCAAATTTGTAAAATGTGGGCGTACTGGAATGATAAACAGAACTGGAAATATTACGTGTTGAAGCCCTGGGATGGGATATTAGGAAAAGGTGTGATGAGCTCTTTCAGGAGCCTGATGTGGGAGATTGGATCATTGCCAAGACTGTGGAGCATGACACACATTCAAAATGACCCAGTCAGCCACCGTCTTAGAGAAGGGCTCCACTGTTTCCAACTCTGCGGGTCAAGAGATTTGGTTTCTATGTAGCACACAGTGCACTTGTTTTCTAAGAGGAATATTAAGTTTCTCGCAGGTGTTGATCCATAATTTTTCTTGTTCCAGTTATCATTCAGGTACACCCACATTTTACAAATTCAGGTCCACTCCAGTTTCCTTCATTGGCCATGATTGATCCAGGAAGAACCAGTTCGAAGCCTTGGTTCAAACAAATTTGGCTGACTCTGACATACCTCACTATTGTTATTTTTATCATCCTCCTCTATTCATTACCTCCCTATTGTCTGCTAAATCAAATCTAATGCCCTGAAACAATCTATATTCTTCCCTCAGCTGTCTCCTTTATATCTCCAGCTTCAGTTAGGCAAACACACATTTGCCTCCAAAATACCCCATCAATCTATAGCAAGCTTACCTGACTTTAATAATTACAGTCTGCCCATAATCAGCGTTAGCAGTGGAAATGCTAAATGCATCTTGAAACTGTGGAGGAGAAGAACTTATTTAATAATAAGCACAAAAAGCAGAAAACAAAAGTATACTGCAGGTAGGTTTTCACATACATTTCTAAACTCATTTATATACCTATGCATGGATCATAACAACAGAATTATTTATTCTGATTTTCATGCACTCTAACAGCTTTCAGTAATCTTTGCTGTGAAATAGGTGATTCTGATACAAGTTAGACACATCAACTACATTTATGCAATTGCTTGCCTTGCCCAGAGCATTATGCTAGGGGCTCTAGAGATCACAAAGATGGACAGACCCAGCCTTGTCCTCAAATAGAGGAACACATCATGAAGCTGAGGGAGTTAAGTGCCATAGAAAGATACCATCTACCATGGAAGCTCAAAGAAACTCTTCTTGTTGCAGAAAACCAGAGAGGGCTTCGTAAAGAAGATAGGCCTTAAAGCATTTCAACAGGTAGGGCTGGGACAGGGAGTGAGAGAAGGAACACTCAGATGTTCAGAGGCAGTGCGGTCCAGAAGGGAGCAGGCTGGATTGGGAAGAGCATGGGGATTTGTTGAGGCTAAAGTCAAATTTCTCCATTTGCTAGCTTTTGCATGATTTAACTTCTTTGAGCCTCACTTTTCTCATTGGATAAATGGAGACAGTCATTCCCACCACATAAGACCATAATGTGTATGAAATAAGATAGAATACATGATGCATGATATTGTGAGCTGTAAGGGGCTCCATCACAACGATTATTATTAGATTTGGGTTGTGTTCCAAGAACAAACAACTCCACATACTTGTAAGGGAGAGGCCAGATATAAAGCTGGGACCTCTGGTGGGGCAGGGAGAAGGGGACCCAACTAGAATATAAATTCTTTGATGTCAAAAACAGGGTTTTCTCTTTCTTATGACACAATCTCCTCCTCTCCCCATAGCACCCAGTGTATGGCAATCCTCAACAGGCACTGCTTGACCAGTTACTGAATGAATAAATGTGGAAAATACAGTCACGATTTTGGATAGGTGTCTTCCCCTCTTTGGCCCTTGGTTTATGATAAGAGTGTTGAACAAGATCAGTGCAACTTTTTCAGAACTTATAACCTATGACTCTTCCATTCTTTTTCTCCTCATGAGGATTGCACATTTTAAAAGACCATGACAATCAATGGCATTTAAAAGTGCAGTTAAATTATTTCTCTTTAATTCTTGTCAAATTCAAGTACATTTGATGTTCTAGTTAGCCTGGGTGGCCTTATATCCAGGATAAGTCAAATTCTTTTCTAATAATATTCTAAAATATTAGGAATCATTGCTATTTCTGTAAACCATTAGAGGGATTCCACTTAGGAATGAGTTCACTGGATGATCTCAAAGATCCTTCCAGTTTCCCTACTGACCATTGCCCATGTAACTTTATTAATTCCAAAGAAGAGATTAAGAAATTAGCATCTGTTTCAGGAGAACATGTTTCTTTTTTTCCCATCTCTTCCAGGCCATCCTTCGAGGGTATTGGGACAGACATACATCTCTAAATCTGAAGGCCTGCAAGTTTGGACAAGAAGGCAGGACCTCTGCACTCATCAGCTGGGTGAACTTCAGCCAGTTAAATTCTACTGATCCTCAGTTGCTGCATCTGTAAGATGGGTACAATAGTAGTATCTCCTTCACAGGATATTATTATGTGTAGAATGCCGGACAAAATACCCAATAAATGGTAGCAAAAGGGCAACTCTAAATCCCTATGTGGACTATCCATTTGGATCCAGCTGAATAGAAATGGGCTTTGTGAGATTTTTCAGGGCCTGAGCTGGTTCTGCCCTGGCTACAATGTTTACTAAGAGGATCTTGAAGAAAGTAAATTATCTCTATTCTCCTGTATCTACTTCAGGGATTCCACTGTAGGTCTGGTCTATCCTCTCTGGATTAAAAATCCCTCAGACTAGCGGCTGTCTAAGGGTCTCTCCTTGTATGCAGCAAAGATGAGTGAAAAAAATGAAAGACGTAGGGAAATAATTAGTGTAAGGGACTAATGGACCACGAGAACTTCATCTTATACCACCTTGAGACCAGAAGAATTAAATGGTACCTGTTCTGGTTACCTAGTGCCTCTCTGATAAGAATATATACCACAAATGGGATGGCCTTAACAAATAGGAGTTTATTCTTACAATTTGGAGGCTTTAAATCCAAGTTCAAAGTGCCAAGCTCTAGGCGCTGGGTGAAAGCCCCTCAGCCTTGGGCTTCAGCTCTGCCTCTTGCTCCTGGTCACTGAAGCTAGACGCAACTTTGGTAGCACTCGTCGGAGTAAGTTTGGATAATGGCCATTGTAGCCAGCACTCAGTAAAACCACTGAGATAATCCAGGGGTTCCCTGGAGGTAGGAACATGTTGATGTTCCCTCTTCAATGTACTAAATATCATCCAAACTGGCCAAGCTGAAGGTAGGTTCAGGGGAAGAGGGTGAGCCTTTGCCAGCTAGCCCATTGTGAGGAGGAAAAGCCCTGGGACACACAGGCCTTAGGTTTACCCTAGCAGTGTCAGCCACTGCTGTCCAGCCACAAGGACCACCTCTCTCTGTCAAATCCGTAAAACCATTTTGATCATCATTTTTTAAGTGTTACCAGTTCCAATCACAAAACTCTTTAGCAATGATACAATTCTGAATTAAAGACATTGGCACTGAATAAGACTTAAATTTTTAAAGTGTTTCTCCACTTAGGTTTCCAAGACATTTTCACAGGCTAACATTTATTTATTTTTTTCCTGTAAAAACCAAACTTTGAGAAACGTTGGCTGGGTGCTCTCTGAGAACCCTTCCACATCTGTGTTTTCTGAATGGAGATTTCATCCCTTTGACACTGACATCATTCTCCTGCGTCACAATCCAAATGAAATGAAGCTATTTTTCTTTACAACATTTTTGACAATGGAAAAAAGAGTCACAGATGTTAATTCAGCTGGAGTTCCTATTTCTTATTTCAGGTGTTAAACAAGAAAAACAAAAAGCCAGACTAGTATGGGAATTTATGCAAATTTGAATGCAAAAAGGAAAGGACAACATCTTTACTTTTTTTTCTTCCTGGAGTCTGTGGAACTAATTCGTTAAAAAATATTGTTACATAGTGAAAGCTGTGAGAGCCAGGACTCGATGGGAATGCCTTGCTTTTCCGTGTCTCGCAAGTTTTCCACCTTTGATGGGGTGCTGTCGTAATCACTTTTCTATCACTCTGCTAGTGAAAATATTTGAATTTTCCTTCCTCTACATGTTTCCGTCTTACACAGGTTGTGGCTTTTACAAGTTTTACTACATTTATCTGTCCATTTAAAGATGTTTTTAATAACTTATGTAACAATTAGGTATAGCATGGCTGGAGCAAGTTTGTACAAGCCTCCAGTATACCGGGTGCCACACCCCTAGGTGCAGGATCATAGGGAGATCCAGACAAGGAAGTGGGGGGTGGAAGAGGTGAGAAGCAGTGGTACCTGGGGGCTCTCAGGGCAGCTGCTCTTTAGCAACCAGTAAGGGTCATTTCAATATTTGAACAACTGGAACAGCTGTACCAGGGTTTGCCAACTCAATGATAAAACAAAGAATACTTATATTGAGAAGAAGGTTGGAAAATACTTACAAATTTAATAACTTTTTTATGTAAATTTTCATAGGCCACAGAATTTTTATCTCCCAACTGAGATGTTACTGATTCTGTCACTTTAATGATGCCAGGGAATACTTTTCCTGAAATTCAAACAGAATCTTTCTGTATTATTTAATGTAAAGAGGGTAATTTTCCTTTTGTATTAAAATAGACTTTTTTTGGTGACCAAATATACATTAATAACTTTTAAAAAAAATTTGGTGAAAATATGCACAACAAAACACACACTCATTCAACAATGTTTGCAGGTATTGATCAGTGACCATGGGCACATACTTGCTATTGTCTCATCATTCTCCTTGCACAAATTATCTTTTGAGTAAATATTATATTGTGATACTGCAGGAACTTTGAAAATACAAACACTGTTACCCATAATTTCACCCAACTTAACACAACCATTTTCATTTTCGTAATTTTTTCCTAGCTTTTTAACTTTTCTATGTGTAGTTTTACATGGTTATTATAATCCCAAATTTATATTATGCTTCTTTTTCACTTATTATTACATAACAAGCATTTTTCCAAATCACCACCTAATCTTTATAGCCATCTTTTTTTTTA